AAATGCACTTGCTTTGGTCTGTGGTTTTCATTTTCTGAGAAATTGGCTTTAGCTGTGACAAGCAGACGTTCCTCCTGCCAAACTGTTTTTTGCTGAAGTCCACATGGGAGGTGGGTGCTGGGTGCAGTGATACCACTACCAATGACTCTTCCTCAGTGGCTGCAATGAGGGATGCTTCTGAGGACCAAAGCTGCTGGATTTTAACCTCTGTGTTTTCTAGGTCTGTCTCCAGTAGAGATCACCATCAGGGGGACATGGATGTGCATGAGGTGGGTAGGCAAAAGGGTTGAATCTGGCTGATCCTCATTACAGCTCTTCCCAACCCAGCTCCCTCAACAAGGTGCTGACCAACAGATGTTGCAAGGGAACAAACGATGATGAGGGCAAAAGCAGCCAAAACCTCTGTTAAACTGCACCTTCACTGTGCATTTCCAGGAATCTCATGGTGGAGAGGGTAGCAAGGGGGCTCAAGGGGGTTAGCTCAGATCTACAGGCCAGCATACATTGACACCAGATGTTCACTACCCAAACCATCTACCTCTTGACACTCCAGAGGAACAAAGCGTGAGTAGACACACCCTTGCCCACGCTTGGGACTTCTCCATCCTCCATTCACTATGGGGGCAAACTCCTGTGAGACTCCAGCCCAGTCTCAAGGACTTGCTCTTCCTTCACTGGCATCTGCAGTATTACTTGTATGATGCTAAAGGCTGTGAAACAGGAAGCCAGCAGCATTGGAGTTGCTGTTGTCTATATAATGTCTGAGAGGTGCCTAGAAAATACGTCTCAATCAGCCTAAAAAGCCCCTGCTAAAAGCAGAGGGAGGACCTCGGCTGTGGAGGAGGGCAGGAGCTGTTTGGGCTCCTGTCTTCATGGGATCCCCTACACACACACAGTGCATGTGCTGTGACTAGGGCTGGTGAATATTTTCAGCTACCTTCCACAAACTTCTCTTTTGGATCCATGGAGATGCAGGTCTGGGTCATCCCATGGGCTGATTATCTTTCTTGCTGGCAGTGTGGGGCTGCTTTCCCATGCTTTGCTGCCTCTTGCCAGCCCCTGCAGTGCAGGGAGCCTTGGGGCTGCCTGCAGCAGCTCCAGTGGTTTATTTTTAAACAAAACCTTTGTTGTGTTGCAATGCTTCACATGGGGAGGAGCTGCAGAGGTTTCCTGTGTGGTAAGTGAGGTTGAAAGAGCATGCTGGTGATGGGTTGGCTCACTCAGAGATTGCTTTTGCACATGCTATCGGCAATGGATTGTGGGGTGCAGGCTCTTTCCCCTCTTCATTCCTGAAGGGCTGTTCCCAAGCCCTTGGAGGTGAACAGAGCTGTGCCCTGTCCATGGATAAGTCACTCTGTGTATCCAAGGGGACATTTTACTAGAGGCCTTGCAGTTGGATGGCTGTGTGCAGGGAGCCCAGGCTCTGTGCAACCTTGAAGCCGTACCTGGTGTGGCTGGTTGGTGGGAGGAAGAGGGAGAGGAAGGCTCCCTCCTCCGCACTTGCAAGGGAAAGCACCTCTCTGGCTCCCCTGGGATGGCTCCGCTTGCCCACCCCACGGGTAGAAGATGTCCTCCCCTTTCCCACCCCTCCATCCTGATGGCTGTCCTCTCCTCCGGGGCTGCCTGCCTGGCCTGCCCCAGCCAAGGGAGGTGCACAGGGGACTCTTGCACATCATTGGTCTGAGGAGGTCTCCATGCCCTTAAAGAGAAGGTGGATTTTCTGCTGAGCCACCCGAGAAGCCCTTTTATACCTCCTTACTCAGGCAGCTGCCTGCAGCCCGCCAGTCTGTCCTGTCCAGCCAGTGGGAAACCCTGATTTTCTCCTCCAGACGGGTGAGCCGTTTTGCATGTCTCTTAATGACCCAGCTTGCTCTTAGGGGGTAATGGGGGAGTAAATTCACTCACCTGAGTTCTAGGGAGATAAATACCAGGTGGGGATGACCTGCTGGGAGAAACATAGGTGCTCATAAAGCATTCTTCATCCTTTGCCTGTTAGAGAAGATCTGTGTATTGGAAAGTCTTCATCTTTTCCAGTGACCTTTCTCTTTGGTTTCATGCCTTCTCTTCCTTTGGTTGGTTCTGTTCTCCAGCTTGAGTGGTGAGGGCAAATGGAGCCACAGGCTCCCTAATGCTGACCTTCTGTGGGACATGGGATGCGGGATCCTTGTCTGCGGTACCTTGGCGATGTTCCCTACTTACACCCCTTCCTCCATCTCCCAACCCAGTCCTTGCAGTGCCTTCCTCCCCAAAACCCCTCTCGGACAGGGCCGATATCCAGATTTACGGTGTCCTCCCCCCAGAACAGGTGATTTAAAGCCCATGTTGCAGGCAGCGAGCCGCAGCCTGGTGTTGTCCCCTTGTTTCTTTGGCACTGCTGCCGCCGAGGCGGGTGCGTGCGCGCATGGAGCAGGAGTGTCAGTAAAAATAGCTGGCATTCCTCGGCCGCCCTGTCCCTCAGCTGCAGCCCGGCACCTGCGGTGGCTTTTGCTTTGCATCGCCCCGACCTCCGTGAGTCACGGGGCTGGCACTGGGGACACACTGCTGTCCGAGGAGACAGCTGCAGCTCCTTCTGCAGCTCCCTGGCCATTTTTAGAAGCACTTTCCCCCCCTCCTCCCTGAAGTAATGTGATGGGCCTGCACATTTTCCAGGATAAAGTTTCCTTGGCCCTCTAAGCTGTGCCTCCCCCCTGGGCATGAGCCCCTGTTAACACTTCACCTCCTGAAGGAGCCTCCCACGTCTGCAGATGGATGTGTTATGGGGGCTCTTTTTCTCTGCAAAGGACTGTCTTATTTTGGGCTCAGCAGCACTTCTGGATCCTTCCATTAGGAGACATGAGCAGGAGATATTGCTCTGCTAGAAAAGTAAAATTCTGTTTACAGGGAAATGATTTTCAGCAAAACAAAGGTGCTTTTCCATCTCTTCTCTCTGCATTGTACCTGTAAAATTTCCACTTAAAGGAAATGCAAGGAATTGTCTGGGGAAACTTGTGCCTTTACCAACTCAACAACAGCCCCTTTCTATGTCATCTGTGGCGAGGTTGTCGCAACAGGCTCCCCTGCCCCATGCAATGGGTGCATATACTGGCAGGAGCATCCTATGAAGTCTTTCCTCGTCATCTGGGGCCCCTGCCACCCCTCCGCAGGCTTTGGTATCTCTTATTCATGAAATGGGAGAAAGGCTGCATGGCAAAGTGAAGCAGTAAACTGAAAATTACCTTTTCCTTGTCTTACTTCATTTCATAAAATGGTTTGCTGGGGATCAAACAAGAGACATACCTACAGGAATTAGTATCATAAATCTCTCTCTTCTGGCCCAGCACTATTTGGTCTGCTTCAGCAATCCCGGTGCTGAGGTTTATGTGGCTGTGAGTAAGCACATGTTTGGCTCTCATCCACAAACAGCAGTCTAGTTCCCTATGTGATGAGAATTAGGAGAAGTAGGGAAATAAGAGCAAACCTGTTCCTCTTTTTCTGTTTTGGTTGTTTTTTTTTTTTTAGAGGAATCTTGCTTTTTAAACCCAGGAAAGTCCCCACCAGCATGAATAACTGTGAATCTTTTTTCTTGGTTTTTCACTGCAGGCTCATAACCATTTAAAGCAAGATGTCTGAGTAAGTTCCCATTTTTATGTCTCTGATATGTTGTTGGCATTTAAGAACTTTTGTTTAACTGCCAAATTTTTATGCTTGTTACTATTCCTCTGCTTGTTTGCAATTAGGATGCTAACTTTCCCCTTTCTCTTCCCCCTTTCCTCTTTCTCTTCCTTCCCTTTTTTGTCCATCTGCTCTTCCTGAACAGTGAAGAGGTAAGTGTGTCTTGCTGGGGTTTTTTCTTCAGTGATGCTCATGGTGAAGCCAATCCTGGCTTCACCATTCCTCCTTAGGACAAGCACCTGCTGGCTGTGTGTGTGTAAGAACAGTTCATGGCAAGGCTTGATGCTTGCTGACTGCTCCTGGTAAAGATGGGGAGGAGAAGAAAAATCCCTTTTAAACGTTGTTTCTGCCTCCTGGCTTGGAGTTAAGATGCTTTTCCCCTCCTTTCCTGCTTCCCCAGCCAGCCATGAGATAGTGCTGGGAAGGTGGTGGTATAGAGCTGATTCTCCATCATCAATCCACCACCCAGCCCTTGGCCTAGTATCCTCTCATCCTTCCCCACACCTAGCCTCTCATTCTCTGCCCACCAAGCACTGCCAAATCGTTTCGCGAGGGCAGTTCAGGGAGACCTGGAAGCATGAACAGAGTAGAGTTTGCATTCTTAGCTAGTTCTCTCTGGCTTCTGGCAGAGCTGGAGTGGTGTTGGGCTTGAAGCCTGGGGGTGGCTGGTGTGGAAGGGCTGTGCATGGCTTTGTCACTCTGCATCGCCTCTTAGCAAGTTGCTCCATCCTTCATCTCTGCTTGGCATCTCCCCATGCGTCCAAAATACCACAAGCTCAAGCTTGCCACACTGAGAGAAAAGAGTATTTCAGGGACACAGACAAACTCCACAGTATGGCGCTGATGTCCAACAGGTGCTTTTATTCTCCATCAAACCCAGTGCCCCCAGAAAAGGCTGGGAGGGCACTCTGTGCTAAGGCACCAGTTTTCAGATGGAGGATAAGCCTGGGCTAACAGTGCTCAAAGGGATCTGCTGTGTTATGGCCCATACCTAGATTCATGTGATCAAAATCAATTCATGATGTATTGCATCTCTGAGCTGGATGCCTTTTCTCTGCACAGCCCTCCAGCCCTGTCAGGAGGGCATTGGCACCATTTGCATATGCAAACCATCTTGTTACATTTTGCTCTGCAGATCCTTATCCACTTCCTCCTCTATGCAACGCAGTGTCACACTCAAATGCTGCTTTCAACTCCCCCATATCAAATGCCAAGCTGTGCCATTTCAGAGTGTGGCAGGAAGCCTCTTCTTTGAGTGCCACTTCAAAGAGTGCCACTTTGAGAAGTCTGGTTTGGGGACCAACTGGCTGGAGCCAGCTCACTGGCAGGGCTGCAGGTCCTCAGGGGACTGGGGGGTTGCATGGGGAAGGGGAACAGAAAGAGGAAAAGCCACCTGATAACCTGCTTTTGTCGTGTTCCTTCCACTTGCAGAAAAAAAGGAGGGCAGCCACTGCCCGTCGGCAGCACCTGAAGGTACGTGGCACTGCTGGGGCTGGGTGAAATGTGTCCAGACCAGCCTATCTCCCATCCTGAGCCTGACAGCTCTTGGCACTCTTCCTCCTGAAAAAGGCAATAATGCACAGTGTGAAAGCCCCCCATCCCACTCCTTACTGGGTCCCCATCAGTATCCCTTGCTTAGAGATGCTGGTATTGATGGGGGGCTCCCCAAGCTGCCTCTTCATCAGGGTTCTCCCTCCCTTGCCTCCACCCTATGCTGACCATCTTCCTGATGTCTTCCAGAGTGCTATGCTCCAACTTGCTGTCACTGAAATAGAAAAAGAAGCAGCTGCTAAAGAAGTGGAAAAGCAAAACTACCTGGCAGAGCATTGCCCTCCTCTGTCTCTCCCAGGATCCATGCAGGAACTTCAGGTAAAGACTTCTGTAACCCTTTCATTGTGCCGGAGCAGAAAAGATCTTGCTTCATCAGTCAGCCTGATGAATATAGATTGGCCTTCCCATCTTGACCCCTTCTTACCTGTGGGTGCACTGGAGCTGGCTGGATAAGAAAGAGGGTCTGTCTGGCAAGAAAGTTGCATTTCTAACAATGTGTTGAGGCAGCATTTGTGTGTAGCCAGCAGCATGGAGACCAGGAGCTGGCCTGCAAGCTACCCAACTGGTGTTGACCCCATCTGGTCTACTGGACGGGGTCTTTCAGAACCAGACTGGTCAGGAGAGAGGAATCACAGGTAAGTCCTTGAAGTCAACATCCCTCTCTGCTTTTCTTTGCAGGATCTGTGCAGAAAGCTTCATGCCAAGATAGAGTCAGTGGATGAGGAGAGGTATGACATAGAGGTGAAGCTACAGAAGACTAACAAGGAGGTGAGTTTTCTCCAAAGCCATCCTTCAGGGAAGTCTCCAGTCCATCCTTCATGCCTCCCTGTGCCGCTTGGGTCTGTGTTATGAAACCCATGCCCTGCTCTCTCTCTTTCCCTCCTCATTTCATCCCCCTGTAGCTGGAAGACTTGAGCCTGAAGCTCTTTGACCTGAAGGGCAAGTTCAAGAGGCCGCCCCTGCGCAGGGTGCGCATGTCTGCTGATGCGATGCTGCGGGCCCTGCTGGGCTCCAAGCACAAAGTCTGCATGGATCTCCGAGCCAACCTGAAGCAAGTCAAGAAGGAAGACACTGAGAAGGTACTCTTTCCCTCTCCCCTGGGCACATATAGGATTTGTCCCCCATTTTGGGGGGCTCATGCCTCACTGTGTAATAGATAAGATTGAGCATGAGCCTTTCTGTAAAGTTCTTCCTGCTTGACATTTCCTCCTCTGGCACCCATCATGCTGAAAAAGGAGGGTGCAGCCTGAAAAGATGTATGGGTGGAATTGGGTTCCTCTAGCTGGCACAGGGTTTTCCATGGGTGGACAGGTGAAGGGCCCTGCCTGGGTGGGTTCTCACCCTGAAAGGCACTGCACACCAACACGCCCATCCTTTCCCCAGGAGAAGGACCTCCGTGATGTTGGTGACTGGAGGAAGAACATTGAGGAGAAGTCCGGCATGGAGGGCAGGAAGAAGATGTTCGAGACTGGCGAGTCCTAAGCACCTGCATCACCCGTCCTCTCCTCCCTCCTGTCCCGGCTGTCCCCCTAGGTTCAGGGGCACCTGCTAGGTGCCATTTCTCTCTGATTTTGGAAGAGCTGCATCCTGGCAGCAGTGGTGTAAATAAAGCTTTGGTGGGAGAGGTGGGTGTTGCCTGCCTGGGGAGCCAGATTCCAACCTGCGCCATGGTGCCAATAGGTCTTCTGCCATTGTGGGGCTCCTGGTGAAGACAGGGAGGCTTTGGAGGGGCTGTGCTGTGGGGATGAAGGATCCCTCTACTGTTGGTCTCCTTCCAAAGCTGGGATGCTTATCCTGTCATTGTGGAGAGGAAAGGTTGAGGCCATGCCACCAAGCTCTGCTGGCATCCTCCCTCCATGCTGTACCACCAGCTCCTTGCCATGTCTTTCACTAGAGGCAAAGAGACAAAGACATGAGCCCAAGCTCCAGGAAGTGATGCAGAACCTCCTCCCACGGTGGCAACAGCAGGAAGACATGGGGAAGGAGAAGAGCTGGGTAGGATGCTGAAGGGTGACAGCTACAGGGCAGAAGTGGGACCTTTGGCTTCAGTGGGCTTTGAGAGGTGCAGAGTCAGGGCAACCTCATCAGCTCCTGCAGCAGTGCCCCAGTACCGGTGAAGTGTAGGGTGCCCCAGTTTAGAGATGCTGGCTGTACCCAGAGCTCTGTAGGCAACTGGGGAGTGGCAGATCACTCTTCTCCCTGCCACGGTGGGGATGTCTGTGCCCCTTGCTTTGCCTTTGGGTTAGCCCAGTACTTCCCAATTTTGAACTGCTGGTAGTGGCAAACCTTAAAATAGTCCCACTGTTTTTACAAAAACAAACACCCCCCCCCCCCCAGATTTGACTTCCCTTTCCCATCCCCCCAAAACCCTCAGCCCATGAGGTTTCCGGCAGAGCTCACTTCTGCTTAGCACAGGAAAAGTGAAACAGCAGCAGCACCCTCACACCAGAGCTGTCTGCAGGACCACTGTGCTGGACAGAGGAGAAGATGTCAGACTTGGAGGGATGCCAGGAGGGTGCAGAAGGTGTGAACCAAGTGGGAGATGAAAACCCTGGGGACAGCGAGAGGTGAGGCCTGGGGACCTGGTGCCCCAATGCCATGACTGCCTTCCAGTCATGGGAAACTGGGAGGGTGATGGTGGGAAAGGAGGATGCACAGCCAAAATGGTAATGACCCATGAGGCTGAAATGGGTCAGTTGCTCTGGCTGGCTTTTGACCAGTACCTCCAGCTAAGGAGAGACTTAGACTTCCTAAAGGTCTCATCTCCTTTGAACTTCAAAGCCCTTGGGAGGGGTTGATCAAGTGGGGAACCACAGCTCCAGCAGCCGGCAAGCTCAGCTAGGAGCCTGGCAACCTGGACCTGCTCTGCAGCTAAAATCAGCCCCATCTTTAAGGCCAGCGAGTGAACATCAGCTGCCTCCTCTCCTTGCAGCAATCGATGGGCACAACTGGTTTCTTGCTGTGTCCCCTATATTTATAACCAAGTTAATGTGGCAATGTTGCAGGCTAGTTGCCATGAGGTTATACATCTCCCTGTGCCTCCACTCGGCTTTGTTGCTTTATCAGCAGAGACTGTAAAATTTGGAGTCTGTTCACTCTAACACAGAGAGCTTTCCATGCGGGTTGAAAGAAGATCAGTAGCAGAGATCACATCTGTCTGTGGTGGAGGCAGACTTAGATAAGCTCGGCTGAGGTATATCACCCAGAAGTACTCAGATTTAGACTGGATTCAGGCTGAGCATCCAGGGAGCTTGGGGGGTTGCCTGATTTTTCACCTCCAGCTTCAAAGCTTGCATTAGCACTTCTCCCCAAGGCTTCTGAAAGCCAGCTAAGTTAATATTGATGGGGGGAAGAAAACCCCAAACCCTTGGGTGAGGATGAGAGGAGAAAGGTGTGTCATCTCCTGTCACTAGTGGTTGCAGTTAAGTGTTTTGACTGACACTTGACAGCAATTAGCCTTAGCTGAAGGCTTGACTGGAAGCTTCAAAAGGTGCTGGAAGGCTCTGTGCATGACTCTCTGCTGATACAAAGGGGGAGCCTTGGCTGCTGGGGGAATGCAGGGTGATCCATGTGATTCCCAGCATCGTTCCAGCCTGGCTGTGCCTCCACCGCAGGCTCAGCTCACCTTGCAGGAGCAAGGAGCAGATGCTGGGATGACCCGAGGTGACTGGGACTTGCCACTTTCCTTTTGCTGTGGCAGGCACTGGTAAGTTGATGCAGCCAGGGCCAGCAGTGGGGCTGCTGTGGAGGCAGTATCAGCTTGTTCCCTCCTCTGTTTCCTGTTGGAGTTTCAGCTAGATAAGGGGCTGCCTGGAGGGGTCTGTTCTGTAGCACTCCAACTCTTACAGCCTTTAGAGACATGTTTAAGGAGTGTGTCTGTGAATGCTGATGGCAGGGTGGCACAGCCCTTCCTCCCTAGCTGCATTTTAGAATTGCACTGAAATACAAAACTTGATGGCAAAAGCAGTGAGCAAAAATAACTTCCTTTCTGTTTCTAAAATATGGGGAATTACTTTCTCTCCCAGTTCATCTGATAGTCTCATGTGCAGCTCTAAACTTCTCCTGCTTTTACTTGTGCTACTAAAAGGCTTGCTAGGCTCTGGGGGTTTCCTCTCCCAAAATGGAGGAAGGAAGTGTTTACTTGCTGTTTAGGGCTACCTTTTCTCACCCTGTGGTTAGCTCAGCTCTGTGGTCTCCTTTCCTTGAGGCTAAAGCTCTTGTCAAGCTGACCTGTGTGTGCATGGAGTCAGGATAGTGCTCCTAAGGCAGCATAAGGTGTGCTGGAGGTATGAGCACCGAGTCTTGCGACTGAGCTTCCAGGAAAGTAAATCCCAAGGCTCCCTGGCATAAATGCACAGTGAGAAGACACGGGAAGAAAAAAAGTGTTGGGTGTGCTTAAATAATGAAGATTGTCTACTTAACTGTGCTCAGCATATATATAGAGAAGCTTGCATGTTTTAGAAATCCTAATTTGGGCATACTGTACTCTTCTTTCCTGTACAAATGGGAACATGCTGTCAAAGTCTTGCTGATGCCAATTGTAACACCACTTAAACCAAACTGGTGTTATGCTCTCTTCCATGAACTGTAATTGCTGTATAGGAAAGCACTGTGGTGTGGGCCTGATGCAGAACCTTCCCAAAAGCAACAAGAAGCTGAGGCAGACTGCTTGGGTTGTCCTGCCTTGATGATGGGAGGTTGGGATCCCACTATGTACTGTGGGTCTTGTACTATGAGCGCTCTCCATAATGCTCTGGAGGCTTGAGGCAGTCCTTGACCTTGGTTTCCACATCCACGGCTGTGTGTGTCCCTACAGCTTGGGCTGTGCTCTGCAGGCTGTTTGTCCCTGAGCAGCAGCATGGCTCATGAGGCAGGTTTCTCTTGTCTGCGGGGTATGAGGTGAGAGATTGGCTTCTCCCAAACTCCCCCATCTCCTTTCTTCTGGGGTTTCCCATGCTGTGAGCTACAGGGAGACCTTGGCAGCCCATGTATGGTCACTGCCTGGGGACAGGCTCTGCTGTGCTAGCAAGCCCCAGGCATCTCTTTGCCATGCCTATCCCCAGCTGTCCTGAATTCTCCAGATCCCTAGAGGCATCTTGAGGGTCCTTGCTAGGGTGACTGCTGTTGCCAAGTATACCCATGGTTGGAAGGAGGTTGTTTAGGAAAACTGATACATGGAGAGTCTTTGGACACCTTGGTGCACTGAATTCCTTGGGGGAGGGATGGCTGATTTCTGCTCAGGAGTAACTGGTTTGTTTGACCCAGCTGGGCTTATTAAAGTGGAAAAATAGTAGGGAAGTGAACATGGGCCAGATGGATAATTTAGCGGAACTGGGCAATGCTTTAGTGTTTCCAAATTCAATGTAGGTGCTCTGGCAGTGGCATTAGGGATAAAGAACTATCTCTAATTATAGGGAGGTATCAAGTGCCTTCACTGCCCCTTTCTCCTTGAAGAAGAAGAACAACAAGGCCCTTGCCTTGCCTCTGAGCTTATTTTGCCATGTAAACCCATGGGTTTGGAGGTGTGAGCATTAAAGCAGCCCAGCAGCAGTTATTTGAATTTTACTATTTTTAAACCACGGGAGACTCTGCTGGCTCTTTTAAAACCCTTGGGGTGAAGTCTGGCTCTGAAGCTTGTGGGAATCCCTTGCCCCTGGATTTTGGAGGCCTGGCTGTGGGGAAGGCTGGGTTGGCTGACCCAGGGACCATCCTTGCGGGCTGCTAGGAGGAGGTTTTGCCAGACCACCATTGCTGGTGTGGGGTGAAAAAGCACTTCTGCTGTCTGAGGTGGTGCTGGGGCTCCTGCTGTCCTGGGGGAAGGGGAGCAGAGGCACAGCCCCACCTGCACCCTGGGGCACCCAACCCCTCTGTCTCCAGGAGCCCAGATATCCCCTGGCCGCACCCCACAATGGGGCAAGCTCTGCTTGCCCTGGTTTGTCCAACAGCATTAATAAATCTGCAGCAGTGAGGAAAGTGGAGATGTCCAGGCAGAGTTTTGGGGCATGGCTGGGCTTTACTGTTTGCTTAGAGCAGGCAAGCATCCCCCAGGGTGGAAATGTCCCCAAGGGAGGCTCATCATATCAGGGGATATGATGACATCTTGGGACAGGCTGGTGTCCTGGTCTTAGGACAGCTCAGGGTCTGTTTGCAGCCATGCTCCACACATGGGTTAAAAGTGCATGTGCTTTCCCATGTTTGCTGCAGCTGGAACAGGACAAGTGCTGCTCTGTGGGCACAGCTGAGTTCAACTTAGACATGTGTGAGGTGTGTGGAGGGCTGGTTCAGGAAGGTGGGGAAAAAAGAGGGATTTTCTTCCACCCCCCTGGTCTGGGCATCCTCCCTGGACATACGAGTTTTGTGTGGTATGCTGCTTCAGAGGGTTTCAGGCTTTTCCCAGAACATGTAAGCCTTTCTCCTAGTAGTAACTGGAAGGGCAGAAGCTACCACAGCTGGCTTTGTGGCAGTGAAGTGGTTAACCTGAGCGTGACCTGGGGATCCTGGGCCCCTCTGCTCCGACCCCCACTGACCCTGCTAACCCAGCCCTGGCTGATGCTCTGCCTGCATCTCTCCCATTTGCATCCATCACCCTTGTGATCCATGTGCCTGGCTGTGGGGTCTGAGTGG